TGTATTTACCAAGAGCGTGAGTTTTCCCCTCACTTCTTAGGACTACTTCAAGTGTCCTAATTAACTGCACCTGGTATGTGCATATACCAATTATATACAACAATTCCACTGAAAAGCATACAAGCATGACATGATTAGATCTCCAAGGAATTCAGACAAAACTGAACTACACGGATGCAAGAAAATAACATGCAGGTAAAGTTGATAACAGTATCATCCTTCACTAGCTTGATAATCACCAATAAACATTCATAAAACGGAAAAGGTCAGGACAGAACATAGATGATTACCACAGTTAACAGGCTGGACTAGAAAAAGGAAAAACATTAAGTGCAACAAACATAGCAAATAAATATAAGTAACACGAAGGTGCATAACATGAAAGCAAGAAATGGCATACAGAACTGTTATGCAAGGCGACACAACAAAGCTAGAAATGGCATAAAAAACTGTTCTTCAAGGTGACACACGAAGCCACTGAAGCTTTCTCCCTATGGTCAATGTTGAGGAGCTATATGGGTCCAATTCACACCAGAAGGAAGGTCATCAGAATTGTTACATTCTTCCAAAAAAATGTGAACAACTTCGTAACTAAATCCCTATTGAGGTATATTATACTTAGCATGATTACTCATAACTTTTTATCTCTGTTACAATTGTGAGTTGTACTTGGTCACTTAACTCAATTAATCAACAACTACACCCAAATCCTAAATTGATCAAGGACAGCAAAATCCATAATTTCACTCAAAACACAAGTTGGAAGAGAGAAACTGAAGAAAACAAATGCTAGTCTATTTGGTCCTCAAGCCATTTCATTTTTCATTTTTGAACACAAGCAGCGCATACAAACATTAAACAGTAAACAACTTTCATCTAAGGAAACACAATCATTACAAGTCAACCATGAAAACCACAACTACATAAAAATCCATCAAAACAAAGAGTTAAACTGAAGGTAAATACCAAACCACTCAAAAACCAAAATCATAACCTTATAACAACATTATTATTAGAAACCCCACATAGTAAAAACCAAAACCCATCTCCAAAAACACCTCAAAAACTGATCTTGATCATCAAACACCAAATGAAAAAGAAAAGAAAACATAAAGACACAATATTTACTCGAAATGAAATTCCCAGAACCCCAAAATCAAGATTAGAGATATGTGTTCATTGAAGTGAAAAATTGGACATAGAAATACAGTAAAGCTAAAAGGGTGTTGAGGGAAGCTTACAAATGTTTGAATTATTGGAGTGAAGAGACTGGAAATGAACTTTGAAGGAATAAAAATGTCTGCTTTGCAAATTGCAAATGTGAATAAAAACCCTAACTTCTCGCTGATATTGTATTATTTTATTTTATGTGTTTCTTTTTCCTATGGAGTCCTCCATTTACTACTTTATTCATTTGTGTGTCCCTAGTTTTATGATTTGCATTTATACCCCGTTTCGATAACAATGATATAGTCGATGTAATCTTGCAAATGAGGTTGGGAGAAAATTACGAGATCATAATCATACTCTTATCTAATGAAGAATCAAAGCTAGAACGAGGGTATAAAATTATCCGTATTAAATTTTTTAGATAACTGATTGAGTTTAAAATTAACACTGATTTTATTTATGTAACTGATTGAGTTTAAAATTAACACTAATTTTAAAGAGTTTGCACCAACCTTACCACAAAAACAAGAATTATGAAATAATTTTTTTTTAAAGCAGGCTTATTAGTCTTATTTTCAGTACCTTTTTAAATTATTTTAAAGTAATATAGATATAATATGATTGTGATATTTTGAAAGTGAAATATACATCATTTCGACATGTGAGATGTTTGATTATCCAAACGTATTGTTTCTTGTTTACATCGAAACTCGAATTAAATTTATTTTAATTTGAATTGAAAATATTACATCTTTTCCAAATATATTTCACTCTCTTTAATTTGAAGAACTCTATCTAACACTTTAGTTCGAAAAAAAAATAACAAGATTCAAAATTAAAAAATTTAAAAAAATACAATTAGATTGCAATTGTGATCATATTAATCACAACCTTACAAAGATAACATTATAATAATCTGTCACTTATATAATTTAATCTTTCACAAATTTCACTTGCAAAACTATATTTATGTATTTTTATTATTATTCATGATATGAGATACACATTAAAATACATATCATAAAAACTAAATTGTTATAAATATTAGATACTATTTTACGATCGATTATTACCATATATTACATACATATGAATATATATATATATTAGATACTATTTTACGATTGATTATTACCATATATTACATATATATATATATATATATATATATATATATATATATATATATATATATATATATATATATATATATATATAAAATATGATATTGTGCATTTTGTATAAACAGAACAAAAGTGGATTTGGGCTCATCGTATTGATTGATTTTATGCTTGAAATTTGAGTTTTTAATTGGACATTTGTTTGTGACTTTGTTAAGTTAATGGTTAAGCACAAATAAGTGGGTTTGATAATTTGAACTTGCGTCAATTTATATATTTGCACTACCTTAATTATTAAGCTATTTCTCAATGATTTTATTTGAATTAGAGTTTTATTATATAACAACTTTCATATATATCAAACACAAAAAAAAATATATTTGTACGTTATAACAAAGTTTGCATAATTGTGCTTCATATCAAACATAAATATGTATAATTCGTTATACATATACAATAAATCAATTGTATGATTCGCTATACATATACAAAAGAAAGCAGTTGTATACAAATCAATTGTATAATTTGTGTATGTATAAAACGAGAAAGAGATAAAAGCAAAAAAAAAAGGCAGGAATATATATATATATATATATATATATATATTGTATAATTATAAGTGTATAGGACGATGATGTATATATTTGCATGTGTATATATAATTTTCTCTGCTTTGTACAAATAGAAACACAATTTATATATTTCGTTTCTGTTTGTATAAGCGATGGAGATGAGGGTGGCGAGCGAGATATGGGAGAGGGGAGAGAGGGAAACGAAAATATATGTATATATACAATTTTTTCTCGCTTTATAAAAATACAAACGCATTTTATACATTTGTGTTTGTATAAAAGTGAGATGAAGCGAGAGAGAGGGAGAGTGACGAGCGAGAGTTTGTGGGAGAGAGACGACTGACAAACAGTTTGCTACACAACACAATTAAATCATAGTGTGGTTATAACATTTAATTTGATTTATTAGTTTGTCAATAATTTTCCCTTAATTATATATACGATATCGTAGGCAAGTCCAACACGATATCATCCCTTGTTCGTCATAGAAAATCTTTTGTCATTTCTGTTAACATAAAAATAGTGCACCGCCGTCTTCAAAATTTTTATCCATTTCTTATTTTCTCATACCTTAATTAATTCAACGAGATATATATTATCTCTCATCAATACAAATATTAAAAAATTTAAATCTGTCTCTCACTATACATAAATGCTTGAACACATAAAAAGTAAAAAAAGACTTTGTTACAAAATATAATTTTGGTAATGATTGTTTAATATTTAAGGGTAATTTATTGAAATCACCCTAACTTAGAAGTTAATTATTTAGATTCATACTAATTTATAATATAACAAATCTATCAAATTTTGGACTTCAAATACACGTCACTGGTGTGTCAATAATCATGTATCTCATATACATGTGGTCAAAATTATTTGTAATTTATTCTATATACATTATATTCAAGTGGATTCACATGTATCTGACTCTCTTACTCGTCATTCTCCTATCTCGCTCACCACTCTCTTTTCTTACTTGTTTCACTCCATAAATATGATATCCAAGATATTTGTATCTAGTGTCCATATACATGTATCTAGTGTGATTTACTTGTATATGTTGATTTTTTCTGTCTCTCTCCCTAATTTAATATATATTTGTAGCAAAAATATACATGTAGGTGTATCCAAATTGAAACCAAGTATAAAATTTCAAATTATAGGGAGAATTATTAAACAATCAAATCAGTCGTGGGAAATCTAATTTGACAACTTTCATTGCAAATAAGGTATGTTTTGGATTAAATGGACACATGGTATTTATATGAAAAATAGTGATGATATATGGACTCGTATCCCTCAAACAAATTGTAATTGGTAGCGGAGGAAGTTTAATTATATGAAAACAGAGCATGATTGATTGGTATAGAGATGAATTATACTTTTAATTGAGAGTGACTGAATATTCAGGGAAAGTTATTACATCTCAATGGAGACCTTTGAGAGAGTAAAGGATTCGATCTGGTATCGAGCTTGATTCTATTGTATACATAAAGATTCATATTATAACTGACAACCTAAGATAGATCGTTGACAAAAGAGAAAATGAACAAGCTGCATATTTCAGTGGACGATTTAACATGTTGTCTGTAAAGCGGAATCTCAGCGACATCTATTTTTGAAATGCAGATGAACAACAACAGTGCAAGAAGAGTTAGGAAGATGGACACATTGAATGCAGAAGTAGTGTGTGCAACCTCATTTAAGTTGGATGAAAGCGCGACATTGAAGACAATTCATAAAGAAGTCGACTAGCAACAATTTTCGGAGGGCAAGGATCCACTGCACATGAAAGACAAGAAATCGCAAGCAATTCAATGAAGTAAATGTAAAAAACAGAGCATTGCACAAACACATAAACTCATCCTTGAAATAATCAAACAAGTAAAATACTCTAGAAAAGTTCGAAAGTTCAGTAGTTTAATTCAGCAAATCAGTAACTAGCGTGTTATTTTTCTTATTGATTCTCAGACTCGAAATAACTAACATATCAGTTATGATTTCTCTGAAATGCTCTTTACGCTGTAAATACTGATTATCCATGATTAACCAAAAACATAAAATATACTAGAAATTGATAACTTATTCAAATATTTTACTTTGTTACAAAATCTTTTTGATGGTGATGGGCTAATATTTTCTCTAGTGTATAATGATTTATGTATATCATTGTTAGGCCTCATTAGGGCCTTAGGTACAACACTTCTAGTAAGACCATCCATGGTCAAAAAACTTTTTACAGCCAAACCCTAGAAGCTTCCCTCATTTGGCAAATTTCTTTATATTTTCAGCAGTATTTAGTACTTTGAACACAACAGACCCACGGATTTCTGCTTTCACAGAACACTGTAATGTTCTTGTTTTCTCTCTCTCCATTTTTTTTGTGTTTATAGATTATTTTGTGCTTTTTATGCAAAATTAACAAGATTAATCATTTACCCTTTTTTCTAATCTTGGCAGTGATACAGGTTTGCTAGACAAACAAAAGGTGAGACCTTTTTTTTTTTTTTTTGGTTGCTGTTTTTGTTCTTTTGATTCTAGAGAAGTATAGGAAGAACTGAAGTTTTTTTATTTTGGGTGCTTAAATTGTATCTGGATTTGTTTTTTTTGGTGAAGTTGGCTACTTTGATGGGAATTGTGGAGTGAGAGATTGTATTCCTTCAAGGGTATTCAATTTTAATCATGAATTTGGTTTTCTGTGTAAAAAAGAGGAGAATTATGGTGTGTGTGAAAATTGCTTCTGTGTCTGTTTTTTTTTGTTTGTAAAGTTGATTGCTTTGAAGAAAATTATGTAGACCTAGGGTTTTATTGCAGTAAGAGAGGGTCTTTAATCTGAAACATGTAACAAGATTAATCCTTTACCCTTTTCTCAAATCTTGGCAGTGATACAGGTTTACTAGTCAAACAAAAGGTGAGACCTTTATGTTTTTTTTTTGGTTGCTTTTTTTGTTCTTTTGATTCTGGAGAAGTGTAGTGAAGAACTGAAGTTTTTTTATTTTGGGGGCTTTTTTTTTTTGGTACAGTTGGCTAGTTTGATGGGAATTATGGAGTGGTAGAGATTGTATTTCTACGAGGGTATTCAATTTCAATCATGAATTTGGTTTTCTGTGTTAAAAGGAGGAGAAATATGGTGTGTCCGAAAATTGCTAGTGTGTCTTTTTTTTTTTGTAAAGTTGATTGCTTTGAAGTAAATTATGTAGTGCTAGGGATTTTATTGCAGTAAGAGAGGGTCTTTAATCTCAAACATTTAATTTGTATGTGTGTGAACTTGCAATTTGTTGCTTGGGTGATTGCAAGAGCTTTAAGAATTAGGAAGCAAAGTAGATTCAACATCTATTGTGTATATAAAAAAGATAATCTTAATCCTGTATTGATAGTGTAATTTTTCTTTCCTACCTGGCTCAGACCCTTGAGAGTTGTTGGGTATTTTGTCATTGGTAAGTTTTAAAAGAAAATAGAAGTCTTGGGTGAGTGAAAATTGCTTCTTGATTTGAGGTTGTCAGGTTGATCACTTTAAAGGAAAATCTGGACTGCTAGAGAAAACAGGGTCTTCAATCATTTTGGATTTTTTTCTGTGATTTTGTGTCACAACTTCCTTGGTTGGTTGGTAAAGCCTTTACTTGGTCTTATGGTTACTGAGTGAAGCAATATTGCTTTACTGGGAAATTGATATTGCATTTAATGTTATTTGCACTACTTCGAATTGTGCCTTATTTCTAGGTTATGTTGTTTGTATGTTCCACCTCATGACATTCATTCTACGTAAATAACACTTCATGAGTTAGTTTGTTTCTGATCCAAGTTGATGCTGAGTATTTGGTTTGTAGGGTGGCACATTCAGCTCCTTGACATGGCAGGCCAGAGGAATAACTACGGTAAGAGAATGCAATCGGAATCCGACTATTCCAGGAGTGATGGAAGTAAGAGGAGGACTCCAACTGATGAGAAGGAATCAAATTCCATTGGACCAGAGGATACTGTTTTTCGTTATTTATGCCCCACAGGAAAAATTGGAAGTATCATTGGAGTTGGTGGGGACATTGCAAAACAATTGAGGACTGAAACTAATTCAAAGATTAGGATTAGTGAGACCATACCTGGCTGCGAGGAGCGTGTTGTAACTATTTATAGTGGAAGTGAAGAAACTAATATCTCTGAAGATACTGGTGACCTGATTTCACCTGCTCAAGATGCTCTATTTAGGGTGCATGACAGAGTCCTTGCTGAAGAGCTGCGTATGGACGAAGATCTGGAGGATCATCAGATTACTGTAAGGATGATTGTCCCATCAGATCAGATAGGTTGTGTGATAGGGAATGCTGGACAAGTGATCCAGAATTTACGAAGTGAAACAGGTGCGCAGATTCGGGTGTTAAGCAGTGAGCACTTGCCCCCTTGTGCTCTAAACTCGGATGAGCTTCTCCAGGTAGTAGCAGGGTCCTGCTCACAATACTTCCGAGTATAGTTTATGTTTACCGTAATTCTGTGTTATCTCTTAGTTCTTTAGATAAGTAGAAGCATTCATTATGCATTTACTCTAGAGTACTTTCAGGCATGTATGGTTTAGTTTACCTGATGTAATTTCATCAGAATTTTAAGTGCGAGCACTTTCCCTGATCGTATTTGATTTTGTACCTGGTGGAATTGTTGCGATCAGTGCAAGCTGGCGTAGACACCATGTCATATAAAAAAAGGAAGTTGCTTCACAAAATATAATAGGTAGCTAGATATGAGATTTTCGAGCTTGATTAAAAAACATGAGTTTTTTTTTTACATTTTCCAGCCTTGGTGCCTCTTGCAATGAAGAGGCTTGTTCCTATGCTGGCTGATTGCCTGGTTTAGCTTGTCAACCAATTTATCAATATGTTACTTCCAAACTTTTCGATTAGATTCTAGATTTCCTGTTGGCCTAAGATGAATTTAAATGGGGAATATGTTGCATGGATTGTATGTCAGTGTATACGTGTGAGTTTTGCAAAAATCTTCAGTTTTAGAAAACTCCTAATTTACCTTAGAAGATCAGTATATTGGAGTAAAATGAGTTCATCGAGCAGAATTCTTATAAAGGATTCATGCATTGACTGACTAGTTTGAGATTGAGGGGTAGTTGATTAGTATGGAGTATAAAACTGCGTGAGCAGAAACTCAAACATGATTCATATGGTTCCTTTTTTGAGAAGGCAAAGTACATTTTATAAATAAATTAGCACAAAGGAAGTGGGGTTACATCTGAGAAATATTTCTAAAAATTAGAAGACATAAAAGGAGTACCCCATCTAATCCTGAAGGGCTTCTAACAAGATTGGTTTGGTTTAAAAGCAGTTTTTTTTTATCTGTTAGCTATATCCATTTTGTAGGGCATCTATTTGCGAAACTTGATGGTACCAAAAACGCTGACTAGGAATAATGAAAGAAATAGACAATCAATCGTTGAGCGAGCAACTGCTGTATTCAAGTTTTATTTGCAAATTCCTCGCTATGCCTTCACTTTTAATGATATGTATATCTGGTTACATGAAAATATAAATGATGTGTTAAAGAGATTCTTCTTTTATTTTCAGATAACCGGTGAAGTTGCAGTTGTTAAGAGAGCACTTTATCAAGTAGCAGCACGCCTCCATGATAATCCATCAAGGTCCCAACATCAGTTGCTGTCGTCACCCAGCATATATAGGTCTGGTGCTGGACTTGTGAATCCTCATGCTGGTAGCCAAGTCATGGGTGTGACATCATTGATGGGTCCTTACGCAAGTTACAAAAGTGATGGTAGAAGTAGATCGTCTTCTGTAAAGGAGTTTGCAGTTCGTTTGGTTTGTCCAATTGAGAATGTAGGAGCTGTAATTGGCAAAGGTGGAGGAGTTATCAAACAGCTAAGACAGGAATCAGGTGCATCTATTAAAGTCGATAGTGCTGCGGCTGAGGGAGATGATTGCATTATATTTGTATCAGCAAAGGAGGTGAGGAACACTTCTTGGTTATTGAATTCATTATTTGATTGCTAGGACTGAGAATGCTTATCTGTAGCGTTTGTTGCTTATCCAATTGTGATCGCAGACATTTGAAGATCAATCCCCTACCATCGATGCAACAATGCGTTTGCAACCAAGAAGTAGTGAGAAAACTGAAAAAGAATCCGGTGATGCTATTCTTACGACTCGCCTGCTTGTACCTAGTTCACGAGTTGGATGCCTTATTGGTAAAGGTGGTTCCATTATCACTGAGATGCGGAATTCCACAAGGGCAAGCATCCGCGTTCTTTCGAAGGAAAATCATCCAAAAGTGGCATCCGTAGATGACGAGATGGTGCAGGTAAACAGGTTTCTATTTTTGTCCTCGTGTAATATTGTATCAGTTGGTTTGTTTAATGCTCATTTCTTGTAGGTTGCGGGTGTGATGTTTGGTTTTAGTGTACTCCCTATGCTGAAATTCTTATGTCATGGTATTGTGTTTTTCTCCTTCAGATTACTGGAGATGCTAATGTTGCTGCCAATGCGTTATTGCAAGTACTTATGCGGTTGAGGGCCAATGCATTTGAGATGGAGGGATCTTTTCCTGCATTTTCTCCTGGCCTTTCTTATGCCCCCATGCCTGCAAGCGTGCCAGATGGCTCAAGATATGGTAACCGTGATAATCGATCACGTCGGCATGGTTATTCATCTTATTCAGGTGGACATGATTACAGTGATTTGTCTCCAAGGGATAGTTATGGTGGCTCACAGGTAAATACTCAGTGTTCATCTCTTAGAAGTTAGTTTTATGTTATCTCATTTTTACAGGTAAAATCAAATCATCTTGTCCTGTTGTTCATATTCTAATTGATGGTTTCTGTATTTTTCCATCTATTTTGCTGCTATCCTTGTATAGCAAACAAAATATGTCAGCAAGTAGACTGAATTCATATTTTTCAGGTTGGTAATGGAGGCAATTATGCACCATATGGCGTTTATTCCTCTGGGCGACCTAGTAGTTCAGGGTAAAACATTATCTGACTACACACTTTGAATTAAGGCTATGTTTCCCGCCTATAGTTACAGTCTCTTTCATTTACTGTAAAAAAGGTTTTGTTATTTACTTGTTCTAATCTTTCCAGGGTTTCCAGCCATAATCCTTCTGCCTATGGAAAATCTTATGGATACTAGGGTGTAGAGGGTTATTAGCAGCCGGAGGTACAGAATTTCACCTTTTTTTGGTCTTATACATAAATTAATGGGCATCTCTGTTCTGTACTTCAGTATAGCCTCAAGCACATCTTCCTTTTGATAACTTTGACTAGCCTGAAGCCTGTATTGCATCTCTAATGCTCTTTCTTTTACTTTGCCTTTTCACACTTGCCATCTAAACAGCTATCATCTCCGATGCCTGTTCCAGACCATTGCCCGACCCTATTGACGAAGCCTCCAGCCTAAGAACAGAGGACCAGACGAGCAAGATAGAGAAACTTGTGGCCATCCTTGCCCTAGTATTTCTGTTTCTTAGGTGTTACCAGAATATATATTGTAATGAAACAACACCTCTTAGTCATTGAAGGCCTTTTGTACCCAAAATACCTTTGCTTTAGCAGTATTGTGTAGCAGACTAAGTCATGACAGTTTGATATGGTGGTTCTTCTTTACTTTGTGTTTGTTTGTTTGTGTTCTTAAGTACCTTTGTGACGTAGTGGTGTCACTTTTACTGTTGACCAGTTATGCTACAGGATTGAAACTCTGTTGCTTTCTCTTGCATCGATTTTTTTCATGTTTTCTCGACAGCTTTCCAGTAATTGAACAAAAGTTCAAGAAAGTCAGGTTTCTGCATTTCAGGAGGTAAAAATGTCATGTTTTCTTGACAGCTTTTCAGTTAGTGATCTTGTATATGACATGATTCCTGCTATTGGGTTCTATCCTCGTGAACGAAACCCCTTCTGTTAGTTGCTAGCACAGAGCTTTTAAGAGATCAATCAATAGCTAATTATGATCAAAATTCACATTCACGTTTGCATGCTATGGTATACACTAAGAAGGCAGATTTCTACTTGAGCAGTGTTTAATTTTCTTCTCTTGCTTCTCTAGTGTAGGACGTACTTGGGATTGAGAATTGCTTTTCCGATAGTTGAGTAGGCACGAATATAATTTCAGAGCTTTGCTATATGTGGTAAACCTGTGTCTTATCTTGTTAATATTCATGCTCCCTTGGCCTCAAGGAAATGACGGCGTTCCTTTGGCCTTTAGGAAATGATGGTGTTGGTCACTGCTTGATGTCTGATCATTTTATGTGATCGATTCTGCAGGATTGATAGAAAATTTAGTTCTTATGATAAATTCCAAAGGTAAGTACTTCTCTTTCTTGCAAATGTTATTTCTTACACCGTGAGAGGATACATTATTTTGGTAGGAACATATACATCCTACTGTCAAAACATTTCAGGAGGAAAGAAAGCTCTATAACGTGCATTGCCAATTGCTTTTTGCCCTTTGGAGCGCTTCATGAAGGGGGGGTTCCATGTCTACATATGTGTTATTTCATTATTTGAGAATGGATTCTCTTTGCTCTGTGCTGTTTGATAAGAGTTCTGCACTGTACTTTGAAAGCTGGTCGTTTGTGGACGGCTGAGCATAGTTACTCTTTACTGTGGCCTTTGAATGGTCCATTCAAAGCGTCGATGCAATAGAGTTCATTGAAGCGACTTATTCCTGGAAATAAGAAGGCGTTAAAATATTGTCATTTCTATTTGGTCCCAACAGGATTCATATGTAAATATACTGGTTTTGTTGAGTTCATGTTAAGAATATTTCATTTTTAATATATATGGTTTTGTTTTGTGGAATTCATAATTAGAATATTTCATTTTTAATATATATGGTTTTGTTGAGTTAATTCTCATTGTGTATGTTGGGTAGCAATATAGGTGACAATATCATGTTGCTTCTTTTAGATTGATGGTTAACAAGCATAATGTTTGATTGTTAACACAAAATGTACATTAAACAATGGTAAAAGTATCATCACGAGAAGAAAAAAAAAGTTGCTAGAAAGTAATCATCGTTTTGCATTATTTTTCGATTCGAGTAATACGCCTCGAGTTGGACACATACATACTTTAACTTAAATGCATATTTAGACATCTTAACTTGATTTAAATTGACTTTGTAAATTTTAACAAATCTAGTTTGTATGGAGATTAGTACAGTACAATGTACCAAAAGGAAAAGACATTAATATTGCATAGTGTATGTCTTCAACATTTCATTATAGCATGGATCAATGTAGAACTTTTACCACCAAAAAGGTACAATATATCATAGCACAGCCAGACAAGGAAGTTTTCTGAATTTTATGCAAGGAAATCAGCTCAGTATAGGACAACAAATCTAATCTCAGTACAAAAATTCGCCACATGAGCAATTATTCTTCTTTTTTACCTCTATATAAGTAGCTAGCCTGATTTACAACACCACTTTCAGTTCAATTCAGCAGGGAACTTTGATGAGGATGCTCAAGAATGTTTTGGTCCAGCTGCCTCTGATCTAAGACTTATTCTCACCATCCGCTGCTGGTATTCCGCTCTGCTCATCATCTAGCTGGTCAAGATCGTTGTTGCTACCATCTGCTTGCCAGATTTTAAATGGAGAAGGAAAGAGACAAAGGGGTTGAGATTTGCTTCCAGTATGATCACACTACAGGAATAGCTTTTAGGTACATACCTTCACCAGTATCTGTCAGTTTAGAAGCTGAGAGACGAGTACGAAGTTGCTGATGTGGTGTCGGCTGTTATCAAAGAACACATAAGCGATGCACTCTTCTTGTGATAATCGAATAAACATTGAACATGTGGCAACTTCACACTTAACTTCCTTATGTATGTATGCTTCAGGATTTAGTTTGAATAAATAAAAGGAAGATACAACTTCTCCAAAACAAATAGTTGAAAAAAAAAGTAAGCCATTACAAGCAACTATAGAAATTGGAAATGTGTTTCTCAGAGTAATAAGGTAATGCACCTCCAATTTCGGGCGAAGTGCCTCAGCAGGTGTTTTGGCCTTGTGTCCCCCTTGCTGCAATATGATAGAAAATGAAAACATGGTAAAAGATGCTCAAACATCAACATCAAACTTTAGTTAAAGATTGAAACAGCCAAAGTTACACTAAAACTGAGTACCTTTCCTAGTGCCCAGTCTGCAGAATCGAAAAAAGCACGTTCATGGTCCTGGCAAATGTTAAAGAGGTTGATTGAAAATTCAACGAGTACAAGAGTTGAAGTAAAACTCAAAACACATAGAGGAAAATAATTTGAGATGCCAAAGAGTTGAAGTAACAACCGAAAATAATCACCTTAGTTATCAATGGAGGTTTCTTTTTCACTAATCCACCATATTTTTTCTTCATTAGTTCCTCCTGCTCCTGGATATATGCAAGGAGGAAAAGAATTATGTCCCAAATCTCAAGAAAAATTGGCAGAAGTACAGTAAATGTTTCGTGTAGTTGCAGTATATTTAGGTCATTTTCCATAACACTTCCATCAACTTACAGTCTCTACCTCAAGTACCCCCTTATGGCTTATACACTTATAGAATGGATACCAGTCCTGTGAATGAAATCTCATTCACATGGTTATATGGCACAGAAAAAGAAACTAAGTATATGGTGACTGGCATTTTTAAAGATTTGAGCTGCAAATGGAAGTACATAGGGACTATTTCTAGAAGAAATTTTGGTGCAAAAATTTATTCGCTAATCCCTATCATTTTAATGTATGCTCCATCATTGATTAATATTCTAGAACTTTGAGCGCAAACAAAAGAACTGAGTATATAGGGATTTTTTAGGAAAACCTTCAGTATAAAAATGTATTCCCTAATCTGTATCACTTCAACATATGCTTCATCATTCACTAGCACTGCAAAAGCTTTGAGTAAATGATGCATATGAAAACATGTACCGCTAGAGATGGATCTTGGCTTTCTTCTTCTGCACCCTTTGGATCTTCTGCAGGAAGGGCATCATTTACTTCACCTTTAGGAGGATCATTACCAAGGTTTGGTTCCTTGCCACTTTCATCTGAAGGGTTCGACATTTTGAGTGCTTGTTTCTGCAAAAATATATCTGGTTTGGTATCACTCATAGCTAAGTTAAGATACACACCTGATTTTCCTGACCAAGAAACCTTCGCTTGAAAACATTTCAATGGATACAATAACAAGAAAATCCAAAATATAGGGCATCTTCCAGTTAGATTTTGAATTTAAGGTATTATCTTAAAATTAAACTGATCGCAAAGAGTTCCAATTGATCTACATATCAGAAAACAACCGTAAACAGACTAAGGATACAAGTAAATGAAACAATCAACTAATCATGAATTATGGCATATGTAATCTTAGTTACGAATAAAATTCAACGTTAGACATGACAATTCACTGTCCCTGGATAACATAAAACATTCATATAACATCAAGGACCTCGAACACAGAATTCTAAAATCCATAGATCACTGAAACAGATTGCAGTCCGCATACACTTATCACAGTATTGACGGACATTCACTCCACTTAGTCAACACACACAATAAACTATACCCTCAAAGAATCCCTAAAAATGAAGAATCACACATCTAAAGATGGAAAAACATTAGATACTCCTATTACTCTATAATGTACATCTTCTAGTTCGATACATAAGCCATATCATACAAAAACAACAAACTTCCGCAGTTGATTGAAACATTGAATTTCCACCAAATATTACAGCAATACCCCTCTGAATCAATCAGCCACTCCAAATGTATGCTGGTTCAATTTTCCCCATCCCCTTCCCCAACAACAACAACAACAACAATAAGAAGTTAACTAGTGTAATCTCACGAGTGGGGTCTAAAGAAGATAGAGTGTAAACACACCTCACCCCTACCCCTACCTCATCGAGATAGCAAGAGAAGGTTTCTGATAGACCCTTAGCTCACTATATCCATCCCCATCCCCGATCCTCAATCCCCGAAATTCGACTGGAAATGAAAACTCGTCAATCATTTTCATTACAAGATATCAATTCTAGTACAGCTTAAACATGCAAAAGAACACAAAGAAGGTTAAACACAGAACTATCAATTCCCAGTTCACGAAATATCAAATAAACACACAGATTCAGCAATTCAAATCAATTTAAACACCAAATCAATCACCAGAACAGTGCCGAATTTGGATCAATACTAAAATCCCATTGATACCCAGAACGCAAATAGTAGATTAACATATGATAAACCTAAAAATGAGGAAAAAATCACAAAAAAGAATCGAACTTGATAGCACAAGAACATGAAATAACTATTGAAAATCGCCACCTTTTAAAAAAATACAACAAAAATAGAACCCAAAAATCCAAGAAAATCAGTTTTCCGATATGGGAAAATGATGATGAAGAAGAAGGGTTACCTGGAATCTGAAGTGAAGGTGGATGAAACCGATGAGTTACCAGAAATATGGAACAGAACGAAAGACGAAGCAAAATAAACTGTAAAATGAAAGAAGAAAAATAAAAAGAAAACAAAAGGTTGCGTTTTCATTGCACCAGAGAATATGGGCCTTTTCATATTGTGGGCCTGGGGCATTTTTGGGCTTTTTCATTGTTTTTGTGGGAAAAGTGCTATGTGGGGGCCACTGTTTAACTCAGGTTAGACGGACGGCGTAAAGTGTTAGACTAGTTAAGAACTTTCGCAATCAGAAGATTAAAGTTGTGAGAATGAGGATGCTGATAAGGATACAAGGATATGTGGATATATAACTAGGAGAACTGGTACAAAATAACTAGGAGTGACGTCAATAGAAGAGAAGATACGTGAAATGAGTATATGAAGAGGAGATGCACGGATATCTCAGTATAGAAGTGTGAGAGGTCGACTACATATATTTTCAACAGAAGATACATAAAATGAGCATATGAAGAGGAGATGCACGGATATCTCAGTATAAAAGTGTGAGAGTTCGACTATGAATATTTTCAAGAGAGTATAAGTAGACAAAAGAATTATGAAGGAGACGTGATTTGACATGCCATGATGCAACTTTAGCTTATCGAGGACATCACCTACGATAGAAGGACGAATTTGGTTAGGTAGTGTACATTGTTGTCTCACTTATTCTTCTATACTATTAGTTGTCCTATTAATTGTGGTATTACTCTTCTAGTTTCTTGTCCTTTGATTTTAGTTATTATTAGTGGGTTTTTTTACATTTTTCATTGTTGTTTTATTTTGTTATGACTACCGTTTAGGATGATTTGACATATTGTCTTTAACATTTTGTCGGGACTTGTTCTATTTTTGTTATTTCTTCTTTATACTACTTTGGTCTACTTTTTCTTTGAGCCGAGAATTTACTGAAAATAACTTTCTCTACCTCCAAAACAGTAACAATGTTTGCATAGAATTTACCTTCCTCACTTTATGAGATTATACTGAATATATTATTATTGCTATTATTATTTGTTGTTGTTTGAATCACACTCTAAATTTATAAAATTTTGAAAGTCTATCGAAATAATTTCGATTCGTGATGATGTTGCAAGAATTTATACCTAAAGTTACAAATTAACCACAAATGATTTTAGTTCAACCATTTTTCTCATGGCACTTATTTTTCAATTTTCAACAATATAATCCATAATTTAACACACAAATCTACTCTTAGTATGCTCAAATTTGAAATACAAACTACAAATGCAATAAAGAACAATTTATATTCACTTTCGTTTCCAAAAATTTGAAATATAAGCTGCAAAATATACCATTTATATTTCAACTAGCTACCCTAAAGATGGCTACCTAGTATAAACTTTACCAAATTATTTTTCATGCCTAGTATTTAAATTCTCTAAATATCTTTGACACAAGTTGCTTTTATTTTTATTTTTATAAGAGCAACATGAACCAATTGATTTGAAATAATGATCACAACTAGCTCACAAACACATACTTGTTATGTAAGGGGTCTAAAAAAAATTTGACTCTCGTAACATGCGGCTTATCACGTGGGGTTTCATATAAAATAAGAAAAAAAAAGATAAATATACCATCAAACTATCGAAAATGGTATATATTTATGTTATATATATCCTTTATATTAACGAACATAAACGTGTCATAATCTTATTCATCGACCCGACATTTATTAAATATCAGATTGACGGATAAGATTGTGTCGCGTGTCCCTATGTAGTCTTCCGTTAGAGTGAGGACATATATGCTCTAGTTTTTGAACGATAAAGACACCAATAATATCCCAAAAATATGACGAAAGTTATCTGCATGCATACTATCTTTATTTTCCCCCCTATAATATATCAAAAGATCTTCTTAATAATTTCTTTAATTATTCAGTAATGTCTGTCTTGCACACATTGATTGCATCATTCTTGATCACATTCAGAAATCCTCTAGACTTCTCATAGCTTATCTATCATTTCCAAAGTGGTATATCCTTTGTATTCTAATTCATGTGATATATGTAGTCTGAATCAATATAGAATTCAAGAAAAATACGTAAATTTTTAAAACATTATAGAACTTTAATATCAAATACTTGCACCTCTTGTATCATTAAAAAAAAAAAATCCTACATTACACATTTACACCCGTTATGATATCTCTATTGTTCAAAAGCATTTAAACCCTCTTATATAATTACCAAAAAAGAGAAATCTGTATTATATTAAAATATTATAATTAAATTAAATTACAAATAAATTATGTATTTAAAGTGTAAGAACTAATAAGGTTATAACCAATAGTTGGTAGTTAAGTAATTCGTGTTCATTTCTTATTTTTTGAGTGCCTATTACTAAACCGATCGTTAAGGTCATTCATTTGATTTCCATTGGTTTTACTATCGATGAATCAAGATCTGCTATGTATTTGGAAAGACGAAGATATTGGTGGTGGACATGCTAACGATATCGAAAGCAACGTCTGAAATTTAGATTGTTGATCTTTATTATATTATGATGCAAGGAATAGTCAAAATATAAATGAAAATAAGTATTTTCTTTTTCCAAGGAATAATTTTTTGTTAAAATTTTGAATTGAAAAAATGAAATTACACGTTTCACAACTTTTTTTTGGATAGATTTTGACCTACTCCATAAACTTGTTCTTTATTTTATTTCTCATTGTTAATCAAAAAGTCAACCTATTCATTATTTTACTTTCTAGTATTCTAATTTCTCATGTTTGATTCTTATGTTCAAGTAGAACTTTGTGCCTAATCCAAAAAACCATTTAGGACCATAACCATTGTTATTAGTATATTATCAATTGACCTAATATAATAAATCAATGATCATAAAGTGTGTTTGCAAAACATTAAAAAAGAAAAAAAAGATAGGACAAAGAATGTTGAAGTTTTTATCGGGAACAACCTCTCAATTCCATAAAGTTAAAAGTGACGTATGCATACATACTACCCTTCTCAAATGGATTGCAACGTGTCGTGTGCTGTTTTAATATCGCGATTTCTCGTATATAATGATACATTTTCTCGAGAAAAAATACATTTTCAAAATACATGTTAGGAAGAAAGTAGAGCAGGTAAAAAGTGTAGCAAGTTAATGCAAGACTTAACTACTTTATGGAATATCATGAACCAGAAAGTTGTACATTTCATTGATTAAATAAGCAAAAGCAACAACTAATTATGTGTCATCAAAACCTAATACTATTTGTAACTCTGTTACATGATTTGGTTCACTTGTTAGTATAAATTCGCATCACACTTGACATACAAATCATAACAACAAAATTTCATTCTAGTTTCAAAGTTTGAGCTAAAAGGAAAAAATGAAGGCAGTATCAATTGAAACTGGAGAGGGATCAAAGGCCAAAAGAGTTCATGGAGTGAACAGAGGAATCTCTGTATTTGATCTTGTTTTACGTATCGTTGCACTTGTTGGAACCTTAGCAAGTGCTGTGGCAATGGGTACTGCAGATCAAGCACTTCCATTCAGTACACAGATTGTAAATTTTGAAGCTCAGTATGATGATATCGACTCGTTCAAGTAAGCAAAACTGCAAACATATTATTACATGAAATAGAACAGTATAAAGGTTAACTAACACATTTTTTTGTTTTGCTTATTCTGATTGAAGGTTCTTCGTGGTTTCGAATTCTATAGTTTGTGTATATCTTGCACTTTCTATCACTATTTCAATCTTTCACATTATCAGAAGTAGAGCAGGAAAGAGCAGAGTTTTGCTCATTGTTCTAGACGCGGTAATACATTAGATTTCTGCTAAAGTTTTCATATTTAGTACTTTGTTATGATGTTGTACTGATATCTTTTATACTTTGCGAAAACTTTTGAAGATAATGCTGGTTTTCCTCACATCTGGAGCATCAGCAGCAGCCGCGATTGTGTATTTGGCACACAATGGCAACACTTCAACTAACTGGTTTTCGATATGCCAACAGTATACAGATTTCTGTCAACGTTCTGCTGGATCCCTTATCGGTTCTTTTGGTGCAATGGCCTTGATGGTTATACTTATAATTTTGTCATCTATCGCTTTATCAAGGCGCTGAAGATGTTGGCTACACTAGCAATTGCTAGCCTTTGTGTGTGTATTGTGTTTGTAAATGTTAGTTTCATCAGTTGCATTTCATTGTATCAAGATTTTCATCAGTTGTATCACATAATGAAAAGATTTCCTCCTTACTTCAATGTTTTCATCTTCAAATATCACGTTTATTCAACTAATAGTTATTCTCTCATAAACTCGTATGTAATCTTGATTCCAATTTCATCAACTCGCAGACCAAGCTTATAAATGAACATAAAATTGTATATAATTTCAACGTTTTTCGATCAGTTTATTTGTTAAACCAACGCGATTTTTCTGCTACAACATTCACTCACCTTTGAGCCTGATGATATTATTATGCAAGTAATCCCACCAATTCATCAATTGATTTCAACGTCTTCTCATAGAATACACGAGATTCATATACCTTTGGTGTTCGAATGTAGTAATCAAACTGCAGACGAAGAAAATACATAGAAATATCCATAACACTGAATAGAACCTCGAAAAATTCTGAACAGGGAAAATAAGGACAGTTAGTTACCTCAGCCATGTTATCAGTAAGCTCATTGACAGTTTTAATATAAGACTCTTTTCGACTTTCAGGCACCCTGGATAAGGCATTCTTCACGTCCTGTTTAAGATAAGCTGATTTAAGTCGTATATAAAACAATACATACCTCCATGAGTTAGTCTCCAACATCTCTTTAATACTATGTAGTCCATCTGCTGTTTGACGAATTCGTGCTACTGCATCTTCAGGGGACAATCCAGGCTCAAAGAAATGTTCTCTTAAGAATGATCGAACGCCCCAATTTTCAGCTAATGCTAAAGGGGTGAATTGTAGGCCTAGTGTCAATGGAGTGACTAGAAAAGTCGCGATGAGTTTGCGTCTACATGAGAAGTTTTGTTCATTAGTTGATAAGTTAGATTGGATTTTGGGTAGTGTCTTGCATTGTGTGTGATGAGTTTTGGTTATTTTGGTTTTTGGATGGAACAAAGTTGTAGGATTTGTGAAAGTGGTCATTTTTGTGTTGAAAAAAAAAATCTAAGGAGTGTTTGATGGTTTTTGTGTGTGTTTTGGATGGATATTAATTGATTTCCCTAAATCCAAAATGGACCTTAGGTTTTGGTGACTTGGCAAATATTTTATCCTCTTTTTTTCCCAATAAATTTTGGTGTTGTTGGGTCAATGGTGTAAGAGGCTTTGTTCTAGTTGGCCCAATTTTGGAATTTGTTTAACTTAGGGTTGGCCTTGTTCAATTTGAAACTAGTTTTACTTGGTTCGCATTTTTTCGGAATCAATCAAGACTGAACACTAGTAGCCCTATTTCATTGACGGGTTGGGATCAATCTTCTATCAATCGAACAAATTTCTTATGTTTTTCCCTTGAGGCATTCAATTCTCGTATCAAAACAAATTTGAGTTCAACATTGAGATTAGACACTAAAAACCATTTAAATTATGCTGAATTTTTCAACTATACACTCCTGAAATAAGTTATCACCGTCATAGAGCAGAGTAATGGTATCAGGATTAGTTATCCCAAAATAAAATAATGAAACTGACAGAAACACCCTTGAAGTCTATGATGTTATTTTTCTACACTACAACAAAAATAATTTTTGGCGGCATTAAATATTGACATTGATAAAGAGTGCGAAAGTCTTTACCGGCATTAGTTAAGTATCATTAGAACCAATGTTGCTAAATATTTTATGGACATATACAAAGAGTGTCAATTGCCGCTAAAAATACATATTTAACGACAATTAATGATTATTTTTGTTATAATGACTGGAGAGTATTTTTGTGAACAAATTATATCTTCTTTAAAATTATGAAATACATGTTATTTAGTTTTTGATATAACAAATCAAATCATCAATAAATTATCTTCATAAATAAAGAGATATAAAGCAATTTAGGCAAAAATAATACATTATTGATTGTGCATGAATAATTGCTTTACAGCTAAAATATCTAATGTCTCTAGCTCCCACATAGTTGGACTAATAATAATTGCTTTACAAATTAAAGCAACACCTTTAATTTACAAAAAATAATAGATGAGAAATGAATGGATTGGGATGATAAAATTATATAAACGAATTATAACTTAACTGAAAAAAAGAAATAATTAGAATTCTTTTGTAATCCCTATTAGTATAAGGGTCGTTAATAGTTTGTTTGATTAAATATTTTAAATACAAAAAATACTTGATCAAACTTTAAGCGAAAAAATAAGTACTTATAAATTAGTAATAATGCTACTCGTTGAATTATGACATGCGTAAAAATACATCTTGAAAATATTAGTGAAATATAAATTACTAATAAAAATACTTTTCAATAATTTAGTTAAACACAAACTGAATCAAAGTACTTTTTTCAAAATTATTGGATAAGATGCACTTATCAAATTATAGCTGATCTGAATAAGTATCTTCGTCAAACACGCTATTAAAAGACTCCTAAAAAGCATAAAACCTAACGTAAACATATCAACTTACAAGCATCGAATGAGTGGTTTAGTAGTCAATAAAGTGATTGAGAATCTTAAGATCTTAGGTTTAAAATTCAGCATAGACCAGAAATATTAGAGTGATTCTTTCCATCTGTCATAACCTTAATGGACAGAGTTACTTGATATCTATTGGTAATGAGAGATGATAGATATCCCCTGAAACTACTCGAGATAATGCGGAAAACTGTCCCTAACATCAAGATTATTATAAAAAAAACATATCAATATACAAGTTATCGTTCACACAAAAAATGCCAAGTTTCAAGTGAACCTCTCTAATTTTATCTTGAAAATATAATACTAATTGCCAATTAAGGAAAAAAACATAAAGACCATATTATAATTTTACTAAATAAGTGTATATGTATTTAAGGAGTACCACAGTGGATGCCGTGAACGGCACTAAGAAGTATTACCACATTTGTTACATACATGCATCTAGTCGCAATTCACAAACATTTTTTCTTTAAATACGAAATTATATGAATAAAAGATTAATTTTATAAAAAGAAAATTAATGATTCACATAAATCGCTTAGTGAAAAATGTATCGATTATCGACACGTGTATAGGAACATTCACCACGAAAACTATAGAAATTAACAAAAAGTTGGCACTACGTGTACCCTTATGTTGTTGGGCTCAATAATATTACTCCCTCCATTTTAAAAAGACGATCCTATTTTCTTTTTAGTCTGTTTCAAAAGAATGATCTTTTTTTTTAGCAATTCTTTAACTTTAACTTTTCACGTGACTTGTTTAAGATCATAAGATTAAATGACATTTTGATACATTTGACATAACTTTAATTTAGAACCATAAAATTAAAAAGTCTTATTTCTTTTCTTAAACTCTACTATAAGTCAAACTATATCATTCTTTTTAAAACGGAGAGAGTAATATTAAGTCATCATGTTATCAAAAAATGTAATCATGACTAATCTTGATTAAGGGATATTTTACAAATTCAGACTTCTTTATAATGATATTATTTTATTGCGGTTAAATGAAAACTTGAAAAAAGACTGCATAATAGTGGTGCTGTCATAAAAAAAAATCCATATATTATATTGATAAGAAAAAGCTTTTACTTTAATTTGGCAAAATGTAAATCTCGAAATTTTGATATCATAGATTTAAATAATATAGCGTAAAATAAAACATATATCGATGCCGATTTCTTATTGACCATTATAAAAAAATATTATTTATAGAGGATAATATCGTAGATTCAAATAATATAGCATAAAATCAAAAATATATTGATGCTAACTTTTTATTGACCATTACAACAAAATATTATTTATAGAGGATGATTATTATAGGAATCAATATAGATGACTATTACTATAATATTTTTTAAGCCTAAAGCCACACTAAATAAGTAATTTGTATATCAAGTATATTGATCTAAAAATCTTTAGTATACCAAGTATAATTTAATCAACTATAATGGGTTGTTTTGCTATTTTTGGGGTTATTTTACTAATTTTCTTAATTTAGTATATTGATAATTTTCTTATAAAGAATGTTATTGTGGATCAATTTAACATGGGGATATATATAATATCTCTTTTCCCACATAGTGGGATATTTAGATTAACGAGTAGACTAATAGCTTCATACGATAAACATTATTACTATACAAATAACGACATTAGTTAATTATTATTAAATTTAATATTATTATTTGTGTTTTTTAATATGATTGACTTGACGATGTTTATATTAATCTATTACTTATAAATTAAATGGAACAATAAGTTGAGCACGTGTTCAACGATAGCTGGTGGCAAAATGTAAATTGTAATTAGTACGCCATTGAAAATATGACATATTTTTTTAATGTGATAGAGACGATCGCAACTAAAAAAAATAGCGAAACTGAACGCAATTTCAAAAATATTTGACCAACCATTCGTGTGGCTAGCTTTAATTTACCACTTGACAGCTGATCAAATGAGAGGGCGCCATCTAGGGGAGGGAGAATTCGTTGATGCTACGATGTTAAGACAGTCGAAGAAAGCTATAGATGAAAGCAATCGATGCTTTGATTATTCAATCAATATCTTACTACAATTATGTGGTTGTCGTCATGCTGACAAAAGCAGGAGCTTCAATTGATTTTATTTAAAATTGAACTTTTTTCTGCTTATATATCTCGCTAATCTGATATTATCGTATAAGAAAATTCTCTTTCTTAAGAAAATATTTTTGTAGATATTTTTTTCTTCTTTTATTACAACATCTTTATAATCTTGAATCTATATAAATAAGAATACGTTAGTCAAATATTATTTTTAATTAATATTTTTTCAAAATATATAAATAGAAACTAAAATAAATATTTTGAGACGGAAAATGTATACCGCAACAACACGTAACCAATAGTCCTATATTCCCAAATTATTGTGTTCACTCGATCATTTATATATCAAAAAATGGAAAGGTCAAAAGGGAGTTTTCTTTCCCTTTTTGCGTAATTGACAAACACAAAGTGAACACAATTATATCAAAAATTATATTTGAATGAATTTATAAGTTATGACTTTTGATTTAAAAATATATTTTTTATTTTACTCGTGTTATAGATCAAAAGTGTACACACACAAGAAAAAAAAGTTGATTAAATTTTTTTTAATTTTTCATTTAAACATTTTTTAATTTACATTTTGAGATGTGAGTTACTTGTGAACTTTATAGACCAAAAAAGAACTTCAACATTATTTGAGTGCTCTAGTTTGAATAATATGACACATTCTTGAACTCTTTTTTTCGTGTAAATAATATATATATATATATATATATATAAATTATAAATAAATTTATATATTAATCTCTTCATTTTATTATACTAATTCTAGATTATATCTCACTTTTTAAAAAAAGTAAATTATATAAAATTTTAACTAATACTAAATTTTAAATATTTATATTAACATAAAATGTATTTCTCTACCGAATATACCTAAGTGAAATATTTTCATAAAATGCACAAACCTTATTCATTGAACTAAAAGTTTGATCTTATCAAAGATTTTTTTTGGCAAAAAATAAAATATATCCAAAAAGTTTTAATAAAGACTTTGTCCTATTTAGAAAAAGTTTCGGCGGAATATTAGCCGTTAAAAAGAATAACCACCACGAAAATTATTCGTTTTCCCAATTTTTATTATTTAAAATTATTATATTTAATTATAAATCAAAATCCAATAGTTTAAATTTCAAGATTGTTTCAAACATACCTTTTAGCTTCATCTTAGTAAATTTTGAATAAAATATTATTTCCACTATTTCAAAAAATATGATTAAATATAATTTTTAATTTCAATTATATAATTTAAAATATAAATAATAAAAATGTGAAATCTATGACAAACGCCTACCAAGTTAATAACATAGTCCAAAAATATCACCATTAAAATGATGGGGATATTTTGATATTTTTTAAAAGGGGCCATGCATGCACCTATCTATTTTTTTATTCTTCAAAGTGGTTGCAACTTTATATCAAGAGTTTGATTAATGTATTAG